GATGATATGAAGAAAGTCATGAGGGGAGATGACCCCCCATCTAATTTCATATTGATAGAATTATTGAAAACAGTATGTCGTTCTTTTCAGTATTGGTACCTTTATGTATCTCTATTGAATTTTCAATGTTTATTACCTCAAGAACAAAAAAATCCTATCCTTTGTTACAAACCTGTGTGTTATTTCACCTGTCCAACGGACGGATACTCCCGGTAGTTATGTATAAAATTACTTATAGTAAAAACAATTATATTTAACAAACTGGTCCTAAATACTTAATGCCATAAATTACTGCGCAAAATCAAAACTGAAACCTATAATAATTAGAAAGCAGTGAGTCGTCAGCTCTTGCTGTTAACGATGTTTATTTGACTGTAATCCCAATAATATCTTACGGCCAATTTAGGAGATTTCACTTAGCCCTAAATTCACATACTAAGCCGACAATGTAAAGAGCAACTCTAATTCATCAGACGTATTTTAATCATTACAATCAATTAAAGTAACAATAACGGTATGAACTGAGAAGCGGAAACGATATTTATCCAGTACACTTTTATTTTCGGTTTTGTTATGTCAGCATCAGAAATTATTTCAAAAGTAGTATATATGTTCAGAACTTTACTTCGCTTTAATTATAAAGCTTTCATAAACATAAGAATTTTTAGAAAGACAATACAGGATAAAAAGTATATTTTATTCCTTTCTTACTTGTCTGAATCTAGAAGCCTCCCGGTGGCACAGGGGTAAGTCAGCAGATTTATACCACTAGACACCGGTTTTCGATACCCGTGGTAGTTAGAGCACAGATATCTCTATACAATATCTATACCCTGCCCACCGGCTATCTAAACCCAAATTTTAGCGTCTTAAGCCTGTAGACTTACCGCTGAGTCACTGGGGGAGGGGCGTTTCACTGGGTGACATCAGTTGTATTATTTCATTTTTTAAATATTTGAATAATTTATTATTTATTAAAACATTCCGACATTGTCTTGTTAAGTAGCTTTTCTAGAAGCAGGTTTCCATTTTGAAACATCAGATTCAATTTTTATTTCCTGCTAACACCTTGATTGGTTTATCAGAAACGATCAATATGTCTGACAAAAGCTGGAGTTACTTTGGAAAACAGATCATCCTACTTTGCTGAGATTTAGATATTAAATATTTTATTTAAAAGATAAAACATCATTTTGTGAACCACTGTAAGTACAGGAAATCTTGCGTTCTCAGGTGCTTTACTGATAATTTAAACAAATGGCCTGATATCTGAGTAAAGCAATGAGCCAAACGAGGCATGCGCAGGAACTCGTTCTGCTTCCTTCGAGGTTACCACTGTTAGTCTACAGTCGCGCATGAGAACACGAGGAAGGAAGCGAGAAGTCTATAGCCGCGTACAAGAAAGAACACGAGGAAGAAAGCGGGAACTGTTTGAACTGTTAGTAAGGAAAACGTGGCCCGTGCCCATTTTTTTTTCTCTCTCTCTCTTACACAGACGAATGTGCAGAAAAGATAAGGCCAAGTAAACGTTATCGTAAGTTGAACGTAAGTTAGTTTTTTAAACACTGTTTTCATGTAGTGTGGCAATAGATATATACAGATGAAAGGAGAGAATATTGTAGTTTTAAACAAAGGAAGCGAATCATTCTTGGAGTTGTGTAGCATTACATTTTTATTTTTATCTAACCCCCCAGTGGCACAGCGGTATGTCTGCGGACTTACAACGCTAAAAACCGGGTTTCGATACCCGTAGTGGGCAGAGCACAGATAGCCCTTGTGTAGCTTTGTGTTTAATGAAAAACAAACAAACAAACATTTTTATCAACGTACAAAGTCGACTTTGACTAAAAATTCAAGGTATCCGAGGCATCTGAATATAATGTCTGAACAAAGGGTAAAAATCGTAGTTCAAAACATTCCTTACCTTCACGGATTTTTACTTTATCTTTTTTTACTTAATCACTTTGCAAGCGAAAAAAAGACTAATTCTTTTTTCCATTCGATCATTGCTAGACAACTTTAGTCCAATAAGGAGGGTTTACGGACTTACAACGCTAAAATCCGGGGTTCGATTCAGCGTGGTGGACACAGCAGGTAGCCCAGTGTGTCTTTGTTCTATAAAAAACAAACTAATAAAGAGGATAACGATTAAGGAAATATATATCTTTAGTTTGTTTGTTTGTTTTGTAATTAAGCTACACAATGGGCTGTCTGTGCTCTGCCCACCACGGTTATCGAAACCCGGATTCTAGCGTCGTAAGACTGCAGACATACCGCTGTGCCACTAGGGAGCTATATCTTTAGTTTATTTCTATTTATCTAGAATAGCTGTATTTTACTGAGTTGTCAAATACACAACTTAGAGAACAAGTATCCAGTAGTGATTCGTAAGATAATGCTTGACTCTTCGTAATTATGGAGCTATACATATATTTCTGTTGTTTCTCCTTTTGCCTTTCGTTATCGCTATATTCTTTTTATGAGCGAGTATAAAAGTGTTTTATTTCTTGTGTATCGACAAACATTTTTTTTTGCATGTGATTAACACGGTGATTTGGATATTGGAGAAACTGTAGCGATACCCACATGTTTCACGTCTCTGAATCGCCGTATATCAAAGGCCACGAGTAACATTTTATGTCATCAACCTATCTAGGCTGATAAAAGCTCTTACATTTCCTGAAACTGTACGAACCGACCATGCTAGAAGCTGCCATCCAATTTGAGCTACATACTTTATAACACAGCTTGTACTTTGACATCATTAAAGACTATTTTTTTCTAGCTTTATGTGTTTTATTAATCATATTTTAGCTATAAAGATTCTTCTGTAAACGTTTAAACAGAGCGTTGACGAGTTACGTTCATCGTGATATTCTTATCCACATTTATTCTCGTAGCTATCTCTTCGTTTTGTCAGCCTTTCAAAGTTTTTGCTCCCCTTTTTAACCCATCTGACATTTAGCTTCTTTACAGATATATAGATATTATATTAAAAACGATTTTAAAGCCTTATCACGTCGTTACAGTCTATGTCGTCATGCCTGTTCATGCTCTATCTGATGGCCGTGCATCTAGGCAATAGCTCTTTACCTGATGATGACAAAACCTTGTCGAAACGTTGTACATTTGCTGTCATGTTAAACTT